TGATACCATGTTACAGTTACTTCTCTCACCTGTAATACTTCCACAAACTGTAAGAGTAAGTGCAAATATTCTTATAATCAAACCAACATCAACCATTTGTTAAACCAATATTAATTATTGGTTTAATCATAAGTTATCATTATTCATTTAAGTATTTTACTCTGGGTTTTATCCAATTACTCAAAATGTTTAGATTTTATTCTTTAACCCTTTAATGCCTTGAAATGAGCAATCTGAACTATTTTTAATCACTGCAGGCTGGAAACTTCCTCTTTCTTCAGGAAACCTGCTCTTCCTGTTCCATAACTCTCTTTCTGCCTGATTATGATTTTGTATGATTAAATAGAAAAAAAGTAGAATTAAAGCAAAGTTTGCAGGACACAATAACAACACACAAAACCAGATTAATTTCATTACCATCTGACTCTACTGTTCGGTCTTGATGTCACCTGTGTAATTAGTTTTAAAGATAACTTTATTCATTGTTATTATTAAACTAAAATCTCCAGCATGGGGAAGTGGGCTGAGCTCGACTTTTCTTGACAATGTTTATTTCCACTTTTTGCCATGTTTTGAGGTAATTTATTGACCCACATGCAGACATGACACACAGTTTGTTGTGATTTATTTACAAAAGAGATGGAAGGTGTTTGTGGAAACCAGGAGGTGGTGGAAAAACTCAGGTTCTGTAGTGAAAGGGGCAAGGTTAGTGCCAATCTGGGATGTGGAATAGTGAGATTGAAAAGGCCAGCTGTGGTAGATCTTACTTTGACCAGGTGAACCAGAAGGGGGAGCTTGGTGCCTGGTGAGTCCGAGGAGGAAAGGTGGAAACAGCCAGCCAGAGCAGGCAGGCTGTGAGGTCTGGAGCTTTACTTGAAGCCCGATCTATGGAGACGATGAGCCAAAGACATGATTCCAAAAACATTATAAGTCTGTCCAGCAAAGAGGGGAAATCAGTGTTGTGGCCATTTATGTAAAGTTTGCAAATTGTAATTTCTACTAATTTAGTTTTCCATTTTGGAAAGTTAGAATTTATTTAAGTTAGTTTAGATCCAAAATCTGTAGTTAATTTGTATATTTGAATTGATTAGATTATGTTGGTAATTGGTTAGACCCTCCCATTAATTTGAGTAATTAAAAACACACCGAGTGCTTGGTGGAGGCATCGTTTGGCAAATGTTTGGTGTGTGGACGGTAGGTTTTTGTAAATGATTTTTTTTGACCACTTTCACTTTCCACTTTTTTGTACTTGAAACATCATATTGAGTTTACTTTCATTTTTTGACTAAGTTGTAGGACATTTTTGGTAATTTTGTCGCTATTTTTTTTTTTTACAAGAAATAAAGAATATATTTTTTCAAACAAATTAAGTCGGAAGTGCGTTCAAATAAAAAACCACCTATTAACACCCACGGCCTTTGTTGGAATATTGTTTTTTGGAAACGAGAAGGCCGCGACATGCAAGTCAAAAAATCATTTTTTTGGACTATCTTTGGAACGTTTGGATATTGGAAAAGCCTGGAAGATTGGATGATCGCACTTGTGCGACTGAAACTTCATGGAATGGACTTGGAGAAGACGCACAAAGTTCGTGAGTAAATGCGATACTTTTTTGGAGAAAGCAGAGACGCTGAGCTGCAAATTGAAAAGTTTGTTTTGGACAATTATCTTTTGGATTTAGAGAAACGAAATTTGTGTTGAAAATGAATGAACAAGATGAAGGATTTCAAAAGGAAAGGGAACTCTTTAATTTAATTAAAAGGCGCAGAGCCAAACTCGGCGTTCTGACAAGAAAAAGAAATGACATTCATGCTTTAATTGATGCTGGAGAATCAAAACCCTCCATAGATGAGCATATGAAAACTTTTAATAATTATTTAGCAGAATTTATGGACTTGCAATCTTCAGTTCAAAGACTTCTGAACGATGATGAAAAAGAAACCGATCACGGCGATTGGTATGAACCAAAGTTGATCAGTTTTAAAGAGTTCTTGGATGAGATCAACGTTTGGATGAATGGCGATCCTGATGCACAGAAGAGCGAAGTATGTTCAGCACTTGATGTTGAACAATGCCACAGATAAAGCATGTTTTTATTGTGTTTACTCTCTGTAACAGTTTAGACTTAAATATATATGTGATTCTATGCATCATAATTTCGGGGATGGAAACATCTCGTCTCCTGTCCTAACATAGGATGAACTTCACATTTTTTTTTGCCACTAGCGGCTTTTATTTTGAAAGAAAACCAACAGAAAGGAGGGGGATGACATGGAACCAAGGAGCCACATAGCAGAGTTGTAGTCTAGACCACCGAANCTTTGTACATACATTTTAAAATATTCATAAGATAGAGTACTCTGTCCATTCATGAATAGGTTTAACACTATAAATATTGGGCTTGTGTGATCTCTGCACCCACTTCCACTTATTACTTAAACAGCCCCCTTCTGCAAAAACAAACAAAACAAACAAAAAAAAACATTGAATCTATGTATTTTACAGATACTACAATGTCTATAGAATGTTTGAAAACTGGAAGCAGTGAGGTTTGTCTAGAATTACAGTATTCATGTTGTTAATCCACAGTACTCAGCCACGCCCCTAACTCCTCCCAAACTCCAGCGGACTGACTACTGACCAGCTCTCCATCTCACGGGTCCAAAAAGCCTCAAAGTCCTGGGTATTACCACAAATAAGAATATAGAGAACTTTTGTTTAAGCTGGGAGTGAGAAAGATTCGTCTAAGCTCCAACTACCTTCATCCAGACATTATGACCCGCTTCAGTCCATGATTCAGACATCAGAGTAGCCCTGCCGGTGTCCGAGCTCATAAACCACGTCTGTTCACAGCAGCTCTGTTATTAACGTGGGTCACAGGGTCATTATTTATCTGAACTAAAGAACGTACGAAGCCACCCTGACTTACTAGGACCATTAACATTGATTTCACATTAATCAGAAGAATTAAATCTAGTTGACTCAATTAACTGTTCACAACATCAAATTAGACTTTAGTATTTTATTAGCAAGCTTTAGCAAGGGAAAAAGACATACAGCTTATCAATAAAAAATTAAGAAATTCATACTTTTAAGAATTTTTAGAAATCACTCCTACTTCTAACCCTACACTGTGTCCTGATCTAAATAGAGACTTTGGGGAGGCAGTTTTCACTCGAACCCAGATGCAGAGTTGACCTTTGGCAGCAGAGAACTTTAACGTCCATGGATGGAGTCCTGTCTTTGTCTTGGCAGAATCCTTTTAGAATAAATCCAAAGGTGAACTGGTGAGAATCCTCAATGAACTCAGTTCTCTATCAATATACGATCTTTGTCTATCCCCCATGTCCACTGCAGCATCGTTGGAATCTTTTGGGTTGAGTGTGGGGCCGCAGTCGAATCAGAATCCCGGGTTGTGGGTAAACGGATCTTGTTCCTTTCTTGTGCAGCGAGCAGTCTCATCGTCCCGGGCAATCAGCACGCAGCCCTCCGTTGATTCTGCATCTCCATGTGTGCTCGACTCGAACGCTGCGGAACAAAGAACCCCGATTCTTCTGTCTGGTGTCTTTTTATTTCTTGTCAGCAGCCACACAACTTTCCTCACGTACGTTTTTCCTTGACGTCAACTGC